TTTGACTCTGCCTGCGCCGATAACCTTGTGGGCATCTCGCTGACATGTAACGCTATTGCGCTTCAGGCGTCCCGAGTTCGAGTCCCCGTTTGCAGACCTTTCCCGTCCCCCTTTCTTTCTCCCACTTCATTTCCTGTCTTAATAATACTGTACTATTCAAATAAAACGTCAAAAAAAAAAAATTCTAATCTAATGTTTCTGAAAATATCCCATATGTATTGTCAAAAAATCCAATGTAATACTATTTCCTTAAAAAATTACACTTACAGCTCTGTTTCTGTTTGCTATAATCCAAATTCAATTCAAATGGTTGAATATGAAGCATTCTCGATAGAATTCTAAATGGTGCACAACTCAGATTCTAAAACATTATATAGCAGTAGAGAAGGAATACAGCTGAATGTGTATGAGTCTGTGGTGGTATCTCTAAAAGTGTGTGTGAGCTGGTGTGCGTATGTGAGTGGGATGGATTGTTTGCTGTGTGCATTTGAGCCGAAGCCAGGGCACATGTGTAGGAGGAGCAGCGCGCAGAGTGAGTGAATCATACATTAGAACATTTGCTGTATTCTTTTTGGTCAGTGTGCTGAAGACTGAAAGTTTATATGCAGGTTAGCGACTTGCCAGTGCTTGGAAATTGTTCAGGTTGGATAAAATGCTTAGGATGAAAGAATCACATTTTGTTCTCACATTATCATTAAATCACACATTCAAACAAATATACAATAAATCTTTTTTTGTTGTAGCCCTCGGTGTGCAGTGTGATATATTTGTGTGTGGTGTGTGAGTGAGATAGAAAAGGTAGGAGGGATGTAATCATTGGTTGCTGAAGGCAAAAGATCAAGAGGTGCTTCTTATGTAACATGTAAATGAAAGTGCACTGGGCACTGTGTGCTAAAAGATTTTATTTTTAAATGCATTCTAGGTACAAAAGCAGTGTAGGCTGACAGAATTAAGGACTGAAAAGATCCAGAGAGTATCTGAGGAATTATACTGAGAGTTTGAAATGCTGTTAAGAGATTTGATATAGCATATTTGGCTTTAATGTAAGTCATTTTAAAGGAATTGTTACCCAGAAATTAATTTCTGCCATCATTTATTCAAAGTATGCATTCTTTATTCAGTGGAACATAAAATGAGGAGTTAAGCTAAATATCAGAGCTGTCAAACTACAAAAAAATTATCATAAAAGTGGTTGCATAAGAGCAGCTTGGACATTCTGCTATAAATATCTCTTTTTGTGTTAAAACTGAAGTCATACAATTTTTGAAAGACATTAGGATAAGTAAATAATAGATTTCAATTTTTTGGGCGACTGATTCTTTTATTAAAATACTAACCTTTCACTCTGTCGATTCCATAAAACCAATGAAACCAAGGCAAATCTGCATCTAAATGAATTTTTAATTGATATGTTTGATATGTATGTACACTGAATACAAAAAAAGATATCATAAAAAATCCAAACTTTAAAATGCATGGTACTGTTGGAGACATGTAAATTTTGAGGTCGATACCACATTTGCATGAAGCCATCTGACATTGATTGCAAAGTATTTAGAGCCCAGCTCACCTCACCCAGATTTTTTTCCTATTTTGAAATACATTATGCTTTTAAAGTTCATTCTAAAGTGCATATTCTAAAAAAAGCATATAGTGAAAATCCTGGCTATCACATCTTTTATATAAAAATATATATTTATTACTGTGTTTAAAAGCAGCATGAGGTCTGTACTAACTAATTATCATTCTTAGATGACTAATTTATTTGTATTTATTTATTTGCATTTGCATTTGTTCGCTACAATTTTGGATGATGGAGAAAGAGGGCTTTTTTATCCCGTATCCTGAACTCACTGAGGTTGTAAAGGTTTGGCGACACGCTGCTGTCATTAAATAGCAGTTTTGGTGTATTTTAATTTTTGTGAACTCAAGTTTTGGCTGCTGGAAAGAGTCGGGTCTGGTCTTTTAGATCGTCGCGGTGGTGCTTCTTGCATCATACAGAATTTTAATATACGCTTTCCAATGAGATAAATCATTTCGCAGATACACATGAAGATGCAGAGAGCAGAGGAGGTCACCATGAAGAGAGTGAAGATTTTCTTCTCCGTGGGATGGGAGATGAAACAATCCACCGTATTCGGACAAGGATCCAGCGAGCACTTGGTGAGGCGAGGGAGGTCATAGCCTTTATATATGTGATGAAGAATATAGAGAAAGGCAGCATCAACTGTGGCTTTAAAGATCAAGCTTAACAGGTAGGTCCACCAAAGACCCCCACGCTTTTTCCCAGGTTTGGCATATAAATGGGTGCCCTCGTGGAGGGCCGTGTACTTCTTGTCTTTTTCCTCTCTGTATCTGACGTGGGCTACGACCAAGAGCGACGGACATGTGACAAAGATGAGCTGCAAGGCCCACAGACGGATGTGAGAGATGGGGAACGTGTTGTCGTAGCAGACGTTGCTGCAGCCGGGCTGCTTGGTGTTGCACACGAAGTCTTTGCTCTCGTCACCCCAAACGCGTTGAGCCGCCACCACAAACACCAACACACGAAACACAAACACCACAGACAGCCAGACTCGACCAAACACTGTAGAATATTTATTGACCCCGCTAAGAAGGGTCTCCAGTCCTGACCAGTTCATCGCTGATCACAAACTATGTCCTGAAATAAACAAAATTCCATATGAAACGCAAAACTTTTGCACAATGACAAGGATAAAATCACAGAAACAGGCCATTCTAGTCTGGGTCAGTGAATCTCCTGACAACTGGTGTCATGAAAGCATGCTCTAAATTTAACCAAAAAACGAACGGGTTTTCATCATATCATTTTTTGTGATGCTGATTATCTTTTTTAATTAGCCAGTGGAGATTTTGTCTTCGATTAATATTTAAACTCCGGAGGCATTCAGCCATGCACAACAGGTACTCCAGATTGTTTCTAAAGATCTCATCAAAAAGTTTGCAATATCTGATTCTGTTCCAAGTGCTTTAAATAGAAGTTATGACAGGTTACCTTATAATAAGGGTTTGTGCAATCACAAGGGTGACACATTTAAATATAACAAGCCTGTGTTGACAAGCCTGCTCGTTATGAATCCTTGCTGTCTTGATTTTGCAGGCAGAATTGTGGATTTGTCATGCTGGATCACACCTGGGTTTGTCACAGCTAAGATGTCTCATAGTTGTCTCATAAGATGTCCTACATGTTTTTAAAATTTTTGTAAAAAAAAAATAAAAATGTATAAACAAAGTGTGTGTGTGTATATACACACAAACACACACACACATATATATATACACAAAAGTCTCTTATGCTCACTAAGACTGCATTTATATGACTTTAAAACTGCTGTAAAAACTGTAATAATGTGAAATATCATTACTGTTTAAAATAGCTGTTTTCTATTTTAATATATATTACAATGTAATTTATTTCTGTGATGTGATGGTAAAGCTGAATGTTCAGCAGCCATTACTGCACTTTTCACTGTCACATAATCCTTCAGAAGTCATTATGCAGTGGTGTTGCTTAATATTTTTGTGGATGATACATTGTTTTCAGGATTCTTTGATGACATGAATAAATGTAGGTTATATATTAACAAAATGATACATGCAATAAAATATTAGTTCACTTCGTGCTTCTAACAACATATATATACACCCACTAACTAAAATGTAGCATTTTCATGTTGTTTTGTATAATAGTTATTTTATATTTTTATATTTATATTTATGAACCATTTAGGTTAATAAAGCCTATCTTTGTTGCAATGCATAAAATCAGATCTTACCGTGTTTTGATAGACATTGAAACTGCAAGCACAAAAAAAGAACAAAACCAAAAGCACAAAAAAGATGGAAAGGGCGAAACTACAGTCTATATATTAACAAAATGATACATGCAATAAAATATTAGTTCACTTCGTGCTTCTAACAACATATATACACCCACTATCTAAAATGTAGCATTTTCATGTTGTTTTGTATAATAGTTATTTTATATTTTTATATTTATATTTATGAACCATTTAGGTTAATAAAGCCTATCTTTGTTGCAATGCATAAAATCAGATCTTACCGTGTTTTGATAGACATTGAAACTGCAAGCACAAAAAAAGAACAAAACCAAAAGCACAAAAAAGATGGAAAGGGCGAAACTACAGTAAAAGCCTTTAAGAAATCCTGTCCAACCTGATCTATGGCCTAGCCGCCCATCATACCTGAGTGTAAGTGTGGTTTACACACATGAGACACCTGTGTTGATGGAGCTGCTTTAGGAGGGTGTGGTGCTGGAGGGTGGGTGGTGCGTGCTGTTCATTAGATATTATCTTACAGACAGGGACTGTAATGTGAGTTGGCCTACAGTACACGATACATTTTGAAGCCTTGCAGCCTCGTCGTGTGTCATCACCACATCCAGCAATCTGCAAATATTATATAATACATGAAAACACATGACAAAGGTCATTTTTTAATCCTTCAGATCAATATTTTTTGTTAAAGCAGATCGCTGGTATACATTGTCGGTTTTTGCTATGAATAGAAAAAAAGAATAATTCATGCTATAACTCTTTCTCACCAGGAGATGGTGACAACTTCATTTAAAAAACGAGAAATGAAATCTGTGATGTGTTTCTTGCCGACTGTAATTAATAAAATATTTTGTATAAATATTTTAATGATATGCGTAACTATTTGATAGGGTTATTGGACGTTTGCATTATTAACCTAATTTAATACATGTAAAAATTACTTTATATTAATTAATGCTTATTTTTTGTAAAGTAAATGATTTTATCTACCACCGAAACTTTTCATATATGCTGAAATAATCACACACAACTATTAAAAATGTATAGTTGATAGAAGAATCAACGTGATTAGCTCATGAAAAAAGGAACATCTATCCACTCCGTACGTTAAGGTGCGGTTTGTCGGCCACGTGACTGCGGACAGCCAATCAGCGGTAATCTTCGCGGACCGGAATTGTCGCCTGGTTACGGGAGCTCTGTGGTAGGGAGAGCTAGCCGGCTAGCAGCGTCTCTCAATCCTTTCTCTCTTTGTCACGGTATTCATATCTACCGTCGGCTCTTTGTAAGTATCTATATGATATCATATCTACATTTTTTTATATACACGTGTATATCCACCTTTTAAAGATTAATCTGAGGGTGTATTAATATTTGGATGCAATTTCAAATGTCTAATGTGTGTTAAATGTTACATAAGATGAGCTTTTATAGCATAAGTCTGTACTAACACAAATAGACACATCAGCTCTTTCCATTTTCCATTCTGGAATTCTTTCTTTAAAAATTAATAGTCTGAAATGAAGAAAAGTCTTATTTATTCCGTGTTTTATGTCGATTTCCTTTTCCAGGTGCAAAGTAGAGACAGTCACGAATGGTGAAGATAGAATGCAGAGTTCTCAACTTGTTTTCTGTTCACTTATTGAAAGTAAGTGCATGATAGGAAATATATATAAACTGATTGCGAAGTTTTTTCCATGTATACCACCATGTTATAATGTTGTGCAAGGCCTGTGTGCTTTTATGATGAGAGTTCATAATCCATCCAATGGCCAAAGTCAATATCTGCAGTGGAATGAGGTCTCTCTTCAGTTGTAGGCTATATCCAGTAATCATTTGGTGTTAATGGTGACATGTTTTGATTCACTGCACTTGCTGGTTGTGATGTGCCTTAGGATCCACTGCCCTGGTTATTTATTGCTCGCCATCTTTTTCTTTATTCCAGGCTGCACATATATGGCGTTTGTCAGTGTGAGTGGAGACTTCTGCCAGGCACAGCACCTGGTCATTGTAGACAAGTGAACAGAGGGCCTGCCATATGAAGATTATACTACCTGACTGCCCGTCTTAAATTCTGCACTTTCGGGGAGCATCTTTTTTTGTCCAGAGTTAAAGTGTATGAATCGGTTTGAGCCAATCCAGGTACTAGAGAGCGAATCTTTGTTCCTTCTCTCTAGTGCCAACTAATCATCTCTCCTCTCCTGAATGGGGTAATTCTAAATTGCGAATCAGAAGGATAGTTCCCTTCTTTAGTATTTATTTTAAAACCGTGGGAGCGTGAAAGTTGTTCCTTCTCCTGTTTCCCCTTTTTTGTTGAGAGATTTGCCTCAAAGTCAAATTGCTTAGATATTTTTAAATCATTTCTACTCCTGTAGAAGATTCAGAAGTTGTTGTGTTTTTCATCAAGTCCAATTAAATTTGAGTGTCAAAATGAATCGCCCTGCTCCTGTTGAGATCACCTACGAATGCATGAGGTTTCTCATCACCCACAATCCCACCAATTCACAGCTGGTCAAGTTTACAGAGGTAAGGATTAAGATGGGAGCAGTTCACATGAATAGCAATATTAACAATAGGGTCAAAGCCGACTGTTTTTTCTGTATTGATGTCTTTTAGGAACTGAAGAGTTTTGGAGTGCAGACGCTTGTCCGGGTTTGTGATGCAACTTATGACAAAACACCAGTGGAAAAAGAAGGCATTGAAGTTTTGGTGAGATTTGTGATTAACCTCTTTAAATATCCCAAAGATTCTGATGGAATTTGGTATTTTGTGTGCGTTTATTGCTGAGAAATGGATCTTTCTTTAGGATTGGCCTTTTGATGATGGTTGTTCGCCCCCTGACCAAATTGTTGATGACTGGTTGAACCTTCTCAAATGTAAATTTAAAGATGAACCAGGCTGTTGCATTGCAGTACATTGCGTTGCTGGATTGGGACGGTAAGTATTATCAGGGCACATGCTATTCAGTCAGATTCACACACAGATATGAAATGTTGGTTTGTTGTTGTCTCTTTCTAGCTCACTGAGATAATACACTGTGTCATTTTTGAGTTATCTTGAACCTGATGTGGAGAAACATGTCGTTCTTTTAGAACATTTTGTGCTGTAATGGTGTGAACCTCAACATTGATCTAAATCAGTCAGGGAAATTCCTGGTTAATAACCAAGTGACCTGACTTTTAAATAGTTTTAAATGAGAACAGCTTTTTTTGTGTTCAGAGCTCCTGTCTTGGTGGCCATAGCCTTAATCGAATGCGGGATGATGTATGAAGATGCTGTCCAGTATATTCGTCAGTAAGTCAGTTTCTTTTCTTTTTTCTGTGCGATATTTTTTTGGTCATTTTGTGATGTGAATGATTTTTCTTTTTAGGAAAAGGCGTGGGGCTTTTAACGCCAAACAACTTATGTACCTTGAAAAATACAAACCCAAGATGCGCCTGCGCTTCAAGGATGCCAATGGTCAAAACTGCTGCATTCAGTAAATAAACATTCATCTAAATGATCTTTGGAAACTATTGACATAATTGTTATTGTTAGTGTTGTTATGAGCAGTTTTTGTTTGATTACTATATTGGACCAGGATTTTGCTGTACTACAGTGCCAAGCACACAAACAGGTTTAGTGCAGTATTAGTGTTTTTTTGTTTTTTTTACCAAACAGTCAAGCCAATCTTGTAAACTCACAGGCAAAGCAGTGTCTCACTAGTGATGCTTCTCGTTGTGACAAACGCATTGGTATAATGATTGACTGCAGTTGTTCGTTTTTATGCCCTATCTAAAACTTGGTGTCCCCAGTTTTCTGGATTGTGTAACAACATCCTGCAGTGATCAGCATCCTGCAGTAAGTGAACTCACTTTGTTGGTGCTTCTCTTGAAGTCTGTCAGCTTCTCCAGAGTTACATGGGCACAACTACTGTATCTAATGTTATAGATATTAAACATTCCAAGAGATTCACAGCACTGTTGGACACTAGATTATTGTCATCAGTAAAAAGGACTGATGAATGAAATCCTAGATAATCCAATCAACAAAATTTCCTCTCCAAACTGATTGTGAAATGAGTCAAATTCAAAAAATAAAAATCAAAGAATTGTATTTTTGTTGTCATCTTTTTTTTCTCTTCACTTAATGCTAGTGGAAAAACTGAAATGTTGGCATAAACACATCTGATACACTGTAGTATGTGCAAGAAACATGGTATTAGATGTCAGATTGTAATACAATAGAATGTATATCATGGTAGTAAATATCTTCAATATTCATGTATGGTCTAAAGTTATCAAAATACCATGATATTGCCAAAGGCATGGTATTAAAAACATGGCAATACCATGGTACGTTTTTGTTGGTAAATAATATATGATGATGCATCTTGTATTATAACAAATAATCGATTGAACTGCTTTACTCATTCATGTTTAGTAATATACATAATTAACGATGTAAAATCTGATTTTTATTTTTATTTTTTGGTCAAAGGAAGACAATATTCGTGCAATTTCTAGTGTGTGAACTCTTTCGGTGGTATTTTCGTTTCTTGACCACGAGTCGGTGCAATGCAGATTCACTGGACAGACAATCAAATGGATGTTGTCTGAACGTGAATCCTACTATGGTAAAGGCGTATCTTATGAATATTAATTAGTTGCAGGACGTTATAGTTGCAGGACGTTTTGCCCAGTATGACCTATGTAATAAGCATGACTAAACCTTCGCAATAGTAGAATTCGTAATTCCGTTGTCCGGACTCTTTACGCCTATGGCAAGCAATATTAACATTTGCTCCTTACAAAAAACCCCCTACATTTTATGTTACTAATACATGTTTACAATACAAGCTTTTTTGTTGGTAAATAATATATGATGATGCATCTTGTATTATAACAAATAATCGATTGAACTGCTTTACTCATTCATGTTTAGTAATATACATAATTAACGATGTAAAATCTGATTTTTATTTTAATTTTTTGGTCAAAGGAAGACAATATTCGTGCAATTTCTAGTGTGTGAACTCTTTCGGTGGTGTTTTCGTTTCTTGACCACGAGTCGGTGCAATGCAGATTCACTGGACAGACAATCAAATGGATGTTGTCTGAACGTGAATCCTACTATGGTAAAGGCGTAGCTTATGAATATTAATTAGTTGCAGGACGTTATAGTTGCAGGACGTTTTGCCCAGTATGACCTATGTAATAAGCATGACTAAACCTTCGCAATAGTAGAATTCGTAATTCCGTTGTCCGGACTCTTTACGCCTATGGCAAGCAATATTAACATTTGCTCCTTACAAAAAACCCCCTACATTTTATGTTACTAATACATGTTTACAATACAAGCGCACTTTTGACTAATATCTTGTACATATTCAGGTGACTATGAGTATAGTGTGTATTAGCGTGTAGATTTCAATTTCTGCACACTAATCTATTTGTCAGACTCTTCGAATTTCCTATTAAGAAATTCTTTTAACCCAAAAAGCTAATTATGCTCCCTTCGAACTGGTTTTCTTTCAAATAAAAATCTTTGTAATCCCAGGTTATCTGTAATCAGAAGCACATTTATAACTGGAATATAATTTAGTTTCATTCACATGTGTTTCATAAACACATAATCCTTTATGGATTACAATCCACCATCAAACTGATACATTTAATTATTCTGGCTGCTGTGAGAAAAGGCTATAAACGATCCACCACCTGCAGGATCCTCACATGCGATAGCCTAGTAGCCGGGACAACTTCTTTATGTTTACAGACGTGATGTAATGACACAGTGCCATGCTCGAATTTCCCGCGATAACCTACCCGTACCACTCAAATGAGAAAACATTATTATAAGATAACCGTTGTGAATCGAGCTAAAGTAAGGCGATAGTTTTGAACACTGGCTGGTTATGTACTTGCTCAAATATTGATTTTGGATCATTTTTAACTAAAAAAAGTTACGGACTGCAGCTTTAAATAATTAAATTATTTAGTTAAATTCTAAGGTGATCTGTGGTTCAGATATCAGTTAGGCTATTCATTTCTGACTAGTATGTATTCCAGATGTTGCTGGTACCTGTTTCGGCCATTAGTACTTATTCTTTAATCACTAGTAACCATTCAGATATTTACCAGAATGAATGGACTCTACAAAATGAATGGACGAATTTTCAGACACTGTATGTATTCCAGTATTCTCATTAAGCTGTACAATATTAAAATGAACAGTTTGTAAATAGTATGTCAATTAAAAATGCGAGTAAAATATAAACAGATGCGAGTTAAAGACATAAATGTGAAAATGGCTTGCCATAAAAACCTGCACAAAACACCGAAGCCACTGGATTGGGACGCCGCTGTGACGTAAATGACCCAGTTCAGATGGCGTATCCTTTCACCACATTCACAGGACCAAACTCATAACGGGCAAAGGGCTTGAATAACAGAATTATTCATTTAACTTTTTGCTCACTCTTCTTTGGAAGTTAAAGACTTATTTTTTTAATTCAGGTCTTCCTGTTTGATTTCGCCATTCTGCAATCATGATGCCGGTAAGTTTGTAACAGCTGATGATACTTTACTGCCGCTAAGACTCTGAGCTGTCGATCAGGAGCATGATTGACAGCTCTCACTCATAACTTGTGTATGCATTGCGTTAAACTGCGGGATTCAGTTAGACTATCATGAAGGAATGCGGCTCTTATGGCTTGTCAGTCACAGTAAGGATCGAGTTGGAGAAGCAATCATGCTGAAGAAATCACTGCATGCGCCAGATATATAATAATCAAATGGGTGTAGTATGGATTTTAATATTAAATTGGGTTGCCTATTATGAGGGGTAAGTGACTGGTCACACAGCCTACTGTATGTCATTTTAAGTCAAAACAACAGCAGCCTACAGTATGAGGCTTCAAAGATTTTGGTTGAATGGAGGTGGCTTACTGTAAAATGTCCTAGACTGAATTTCATGCACACTATGTATGATTTATTTATATTTACATACATTATATAAATTATTTTTTTAAGGAAAATTGTTGGAGTATGTTTTATTTCAGTTTTTCTACTAAAGATCTGTTACTTGCCGTTTCTTTTGTTTGTGAAATTTACTTGCAATTTCTTACACTTTATCCACTCTTAAAATGTATGAACGTACATTTTTCATTTAATATGAAGCACAACACAAGTGGATCAGTTGCTTATTACTAACAGTGATTTTTAAACTGGCTTAGAAAAGTTCTACACTTAGATTCTATCATCACCTTGCTTTATTTGATACTTTGCATCAAATTGTTTATATGCATACACACACTTGGTCAATATTGGTTTATTTTCCTTGTAGCTATAAGGTTTGTCAGTAGCACATTGCAATTACAATAAGATTTCATTTTCGTTAACGTTAAAGGGTTAGTTCACCCAAAAATGAAAATTAGCCTGTTATCTACTCACCCTCAAGCCATCCTAGGTGTATATGACTTTCTTCTTTCAGACGAATCCAATCGTTATATTAAAAAGATTTATATAAAAAATTGTCCTGGTACTTCTAAGCTCTAGTGGGCAGGTGTTTCTGTTCAACGGTCCAAAACACGTTAAATAAAGTGCGCGCATCCGTAATAAAACGTGCCTCACACAGCTCCGGGGTGTGAATTAAGGCCTCCTGTAGCGAATCCATGCGTTTTTGTAAGAAAAATATCCATATTTCAAACTTAATAAACACTTTTCTATCACTTCCGCCATCTGTCATACGCGAAAGCCTTTCCGGCGGGTGACGTAGGACGTTGGCGTTGCGTGATTAGAGACGAACGCAGAGAGAGAGAACAAAACAAAACACCAGTCATGAATTAGAAGTACAAACTGAGGATTTGTAAAGAAAAATGTCGGAGGATTTCAATATAAGCCAAGAGGAGACTGGCTTTCCTTTGCTAAAGTAAGGAAACTTTGCTTCCTTAAACAAACTCGTGGGACTAGCATATCTCAGAGGCGCGTTCGCGATGCATACGTCCTACGTCATCCGCCGGAAGAGCAGAAGTGAGCGACAAGTGAGGGTTAGGTGGACAAGTGAGTACGAATTCATTCCACATTTACTGATATTTATTCTACATTCTGGTTGTGTTTGTGTTCCTCATCCTGTCAGATTTCTTGTACTGTCGTTGTTTCTGTGTGAGAGTGATGCAGTTTGTGGCTGTGTTGAATGAAACATTAGCCTGCGGGGAGTATTTTAAGGCGCTGTGCGGTGAGCTGTGGAAAGGTTGGGTCAGTTGTCAGAATTCCTGAATTGTGACACACTCAGGGTTGTGTGCTTTTAAATCCCTCACACCCCAAATCCTGGAGCACTTTTTCCAGCAGTTCCAACAGCATACTGTTAGAGTAGAAACTGCCATCTTATTTTCCATCTCCATGAGGCAGAAGTGTCCCTCAATAGGACGTATCAGAGCACAGATTACAGGGAGAGCCAGATGGGGTCAAAGATCAAAGGTGAATGAAAGTAGCATCCTCTGTACTGAAGTTAACCTTTCACCTTTGCACAGGCAGTCACCTTTGGAGTTCAGACAGATTGGACTGAGAATGGATTTAGAGTTAACTAAGAGCTAATGGACTGCACACTTCCCCTGTGGAGAATTAGACAGAGATTCCCTCACTTCTGGCTGCATGTTTCCCCCTTTTGCCTTTAGTATACCACAGGAATGATTCCATGACATGTCAAACTCCAACGCAGACATGTGCGATTAACCTCAGGACTTCAGACTGACATGTAATTATAAAAGTACTACAGCTTAGATGTCTTTAAATCCTGCTAGAGCTTGAGAATTGATCTGACAAACAACCAACACGCACAGATTAGTGATGAGAAGTCTGATACTTTTCCGCGAACTGGTTGTTTCGTACAGTTTGTTTCAGTGAATTGGTTTAAATAACCGATTGACCAGTTCGTTTATGTCACGTATACACAATTCAATTAAAGGGGTCATGAACTGCCTTTGTTTTTTTATTTTGTACTGTTCTCTGAGGTCCACTTATAATGTCATCAAGATTTCTACCTAAAAAAAAAAATCATAATTTAGAAGTAATAGGCTATTTTCTGCCGGTTTGACGCCCC